CGATAACCCACACACTTGACAAGGCTAGGAGCACCTTGTCCCGAATGCACATGTACAGGGGTTGTCAACTTTGGTCAGCTGGCTGACGTGAGATTTTCAATTTGAAACAAAGTCTGCACGATGATATACAGTACATGTATAAAAGAGTTTTGTTACCTTGTAAATAGTCTGTCAGGTCTGCAAACTACCCCAATGATTTTGATGTAGCTAATTTTAATTCCATATTGGACCAATATAAATTTGATGTTAGATTGTTTGCATGTGCATGACAGTCAAAAAGCGTGAGTCTCGCATTTGATGTGTGAGAGTTGCCAACTCTGCATGTAACATAAATAATTGCAGGTTATAATTTCATCAGCATTGCATTGTTTTATTTAAGGTTTAACAGCTGTTCCTTTTGCAGGAGAGGCTCTGTAGACATGGGCATTTGACAGACACTAGTTCAGTTAAATGGCATGTTTTTGGCCTGGGTATGATAATCAGGGGACCCAGAGGAAAGGCATTAAAGCATGTGGGAGGCATGCAAAGCCCCCAACACAAAGCTTGGGGGGCTCAAAGACCCCCCTGTCAGGTTGTCAGATGACACAGCTACTGACCAAACCGCCATGTGACCTACGAACACATACAAACGTGCTCCTGGGCCTTTTAATGTGGCATGTCTGGCTTTTATTTTCCTCAGGTTACTCTCCGATTCCGCTACGCATCAGCACCCGGACGGCCCTGCTCCCTGACACATCCTGTCACGTTCACGCTCATCCCAGACGCAATACGAGCCTGGGGAGTCGCAGCGAAACACTCCCAGCTCCGCACATCAACATAAAAGCTGTTAAATAAACCGACAGCCACCTGGCAGAGCTGTAATCGGGAATCATTAGCCCTGCACGATTTAGCCTTGGTTGCTGCGTGAAGAATATGAGGTACAAATAAGTAATGATCTCTTTGCAGGTGGCAGGACTGAGACATCAGCAGCGGAACGATGGCTCACAGATTTATTTACTTTGCTGTTAATTGCACATTATTTATTTATTTTCCCAAAGAGTGATATAACCGAAGGTGCGTAACAGTATCAAAGTGACAGCACTGATGATGCAACTGCCCCTTTTGTAGTTGTGATCGACGTTCTTCAGATGTTGCAGGCCTTAAATGAGACAGTTCTTACGGCTGGAAGGTAATTCACGCTGCATTCTTGTAATCGTGTTAAAGGTGTTTGGTACTCATGAAAAAAGGCCTTTTCAGACTTTTTAAGCAGGAAACTTGTTCACCTCCATCCATCCATCCATCCATCCATGTTCAATAACAGCCTGTTAGAGTTAGAGATGCAGGGCAGGGCAAACTCTTCTTGGGTTTCAGAATCGACTCATTAATGGACTCTGACCCTGACCTCAGTTGACAGCCTGCTTATATTAAATCAGGCCCAGTTTTACAGTTTTTCATTATGCTAGCATGCCTGGGGGGGTTGGGCAGCAAGTTGACCTTGGACCCCCAGAGGGTTTTTCCCTCCTTGCTCAGGAGCTTTTGGTTCCTCTTCTCCGTTGCCTTCTGGCTTTCTGTCTGTCCCTTTTTCCTTTTTCATGCAGCATTCTGTACAAATGATGAAATAGTGGATTGCCATGCCCTCTTGCCAGGTGCTCGGGGCGACTCTGTTGGTACTATATAAAAATAAATTAAACTGAACTGAATTTACCACACGCTCACATATACAGACAGTAAGGAAAATGCAGACACCGATCTACATAAATGTCATTCCTTTTGTCCACAGGGGACCCAGAGGTGGACCCTGGCATTGACATGGGAGAAGCACAAGACCTGCAATGGGCACAGAGTTAATTCCAACAGTACTGTGAAAATGGAGAATGACACCATAAAATGGTATTGGCACAATTACGTGATTCTTCCATGGCAGGGTCCATTATTATAGCCAAAAGCACTTCTACAAAGAGCCGACACTCTCGCTTTTACGCCGGTGCTGGTCGCTTAGGAGAGACTTCAAGTTCCACATCTAGCAGCTGCTTTATCAAAAGCAGCATCTGTGATTTTGTGAAAACAAGGCCACCCAATCCCAGCAGCAACTGGGTATTAATGGCCTTGATCAGTGACCCAACAGCCAAACCACTCAGCCAACCCCGAGATTTGAACCAGTAAGCTTCAGATCTTAGATACAGTATCCCAACCAACTGAGCCACACACAAGCAGGGTCACAAACACCTTCACCTTGGTGAATACTGATTAAAAAATGATAGCGCTGAAAAACAAACACCGTATATATCACCCCATCACGTACAGAATCAGAGATCCCGCCTCTGATGTGTGATTCAAAGGGGTGTTCTCCACCACACTGGCCCAGAGTCGGCCTGCATATTAACTAGTGGTGAGAGATTGAAGGCTTGGAGGGACACAGTAGGTGGTATTACCAGAGGATTTGAGTTACTGCTTGGTTTAACCCAACAGGACCCGGTATGAGGTGGGTTAAACTGATTAAACCCGGTATAACATGATAATTACTAATGCTGTCTTTATTGTCGTTGCACATGTACAAAGAAACTCCCACCAATGAGACATTTAATAATAAGATGAAGAAGAATGAAGAGCCACTGTACAAGACATAAAATAACCCAGGCTGGTGTGCCAACCCATCACAGGGCACACGCACACATTCACAAGGAACGTGGCAACTCGAAGTAACTTCAGCATGTTTTTAGAGGGGAGCCGGAGTACCGGGCAGAAACCTCACAATGACACGGGGAGAACAAGCAAACTCCACACACATGGAGCCATGGCGGAGACTCGAACCCAGGTCCCCAAGGTGGGAGAGAAAAATACCACCTAGGACACCATCATGCCAGCCTACAACAACAGAAATGTTGCTATTAGTCAATATCAATCAATGCAGTGAAAAGTGAACCATAGTGCAGTTGTATATTGTTTTAGCAGCATTAAATGTAGCTTTGTAGATTTGACTGCTAGGAAAAAAGTAACAGCACTAAATAGTCAGTTTGGGGAGGACAATCCTAATCTCTGTGCCCAGAGCCACCTGCAGGGGGTGCACTTTTCAGCATGTGAATTTCAGAAACTCATACGGCAAACACCCGACGCAATGGAGGGGTAACCCAGATAGTACCATAAAAAAACAAAAAAAAGCGTATTTGGAGGGTGTCTCTTTTGCCCCGAGTACACAGCTGAACATAACAAAAGGCATTTGGGAGAATCTTGGAGGGTGGGGGATCGTCTTTCAACAAGGTCAACCCTGAGCTTCTGCACCACGCAAATCCTAAATGTTTTCGCAGGGAATGCGCTTGTCAAGCGCGTGGTGGAAAATCACACTCTTTGGGAGGGTCAGGAGTGAATGGATTTAGGGTTCGAGAAAATGGTGCTGCTCCTCCCCAGCACAGTCCCATGAACTGTGTGGGGAGACAAACATTAGGGCCGATTTCTCAGATTTCTCATTACCGTGGGACCCCTGCACCGAGACCCCTGCCCGTGGATCTGCTGAAGGTTTATCTCGCACTCCATAGCCACGCTTTCAAAAGACGAGAATAAAGAAAATTGAGGAGTTTGGAAAAGGAATTTGAAAAGTGCAGGGGAGTAGGGCAAAGTGTTTTGGGATTAGTGAACCTGTAGGATTTACTGTTTAAGGTTTAGTGGACCAAAGTGTTAATGGCCCAATAGCTGCAACACAAAGGTTTCTGGATGGGCTTTGTTGTCAGAACAAAGAGCTTAGATGCAGCTGGGTCGGTAAAACATGAAAGTCTCATTTTGGATAACAAGCACAGGTGACAGCAAGCGTTCGGCTGATATGGGGATATGGGTGTGGTGCTTGGTGAGCTATCCCTACAATATAATGGTATCGTTCTTGATACTGGATTGATGTTCTTGTCAGAAGAGCACCGTTGCTGCTTTGGGAGGCCTGCCAGAAATATATCGCACAGCTAACAGATGCATGGTTAATGCAGAGTAATTTGAAAGTACTACCGAACGGGTTTACAACACACACACACACACACACAAAGTCGGTCTTCCTATCTAAATGGGGACCGTCCATTCATTTCTATGGGAAAAACCATAATCCCAATCATGACACTCTTAACCCCTACCCATCCCTAACCTTAACCATAAGTAACCAACCCAAATACAATGCAAACCCACAGACACACACGCACACACACACACACTCTGGAAAGTCAGTGTACAAACTGTTGCAATGTTTTAGGTTTTTATTTGTTGGCTTGGGATACCTTTAATATTCCACTTAACTTCTATTTATTTTCTGTTTGTTTGCTTATCTATTGATTTGACTTATTTTTTCCTGCCCTGTACAGTACTTTGGCAACTTAAACAGCTGTGGAAAAGAATAACAGACCACTTTATTTTTAAACAAATCTGCATTTTAAAATCCTGGTTTAATTGTGGTCCCGCTGCCTTCACTGAGTAACATTCTAATGGCAGACTGTTAACGTGTGTGTGTGCGTGTGCGTGTGTGTGTGTGTGTCAGAATACACGGACCTATTTGTCTGCATAGCTATAAGAAAACCCTGCAGACGCTGCATAGGAGGTAAGCTTCACCCAAAACGGAGCACTCAAATAACCACCGACACACGGTAAGGGTCATTCTTAAAAGGCGTACAGGTGTTTGAATCGTGGCAGGCGGTCAGGCTGCCCAGAAGAGCTCTGAATGTGCCGGAAACATTTAACAGCAGAATTTCTACCTAACAGCCTGTAAATTCTGTTTTCCATCTTCGACTCTAAAAGGGTAACCCTTTCATTATGGTAATGATTATAATCAGAAATCTCATGGGAGTGACTGAAGGACAAGCCGGCACATTTCATAGCTGCCAAACCGGGAAGCTCGTTAGCACTATTAGAAGCCCTCAATTAACACTTTAAGTAGCTCGGAGCGCCTTGTTGGCGTCCGTAACCAATCAGCTGCTGCTAATCGGTTAATGGCAGCTGATTGGTTAAAGGGCACTGATTAGGCCCAGGCTCTCTGATTGGAAAAAGTTTTAAAAAGCTTGGGGTGACAGGTGTTTGTAAAGTGGTTTTAATGGTTGGTGTATTTGGTTGCTTGAATGAAGTATGGCTATAAAGCAGCTTTTTGTGGTTTTTTTAAGGTATCAAAAATTATATGTGCCCTTAGGGACTAAATCGAAGCTTTTGTATGTATTGGAGACTCTTATGGCTGCAGGCATTAGCATTTTGGCAACTAAAGCTCAAACTAAAGTACTGTGGTGATTGTGCTTTGTTCCACAGCCTGTCTTTGCCTTGTTTGGTCCTGCCGGGGGGGTCGTCTTGTGCGGCTGCATCCAGAGGTGAGATATGAGCACGTTCCTCTGTTGGTCCTGACAGAGTGTTTCTCAACCCAATCCTCTTGGTCTCCCAGACAGTCCACATTTTTGTGGCCTCGCAGCTCCTAGCTCACGCTTACCTGCTATTTGGTTCTGGGGTGCTGCTTCTGGCAGCCTGTGTGCTAACTGTGTGCTGTCTGCTCTTTCCAGCCTCCCGCTACAAGCATGGGCAGTATGGTGTTCCCTTTGGGGCTCTCCAGGGTGGGGCCCAGCCCCCTAGACCCCTGCCTCTTCAAAGCAACTACCCTCCAGTTGACACCACCTTCCCTGGCTTCATGCCTGGTTATCATTATGGCCCCGACATTCTCCGTGCTGCCCCCAGGCGCCAGGGTACTTTCTTGGGGGACCTGATTCAACATGCACCGGCACTGACGAGACCTCAGTCTGGCTACCCTGTCTTAGGTCCTGCTGTTGGTCCCGTCCCCTACAACCCGGACCTCGAGCTTGTGACGTTCCAGCTGCCCCACTGGTTTGTTCCAGGTGAGGTGGGACCTGGTCATCTGGCCTCCAGAAGCTATGGGCCCCTGCTGGAGCAGCATGAAGACCTCGACTACCACCCGCTGTTCTATAGGAATGGCTTCGTCACAGCTGGACAAATGGCTGGCATGCGTGACCCTTACGTCCCTAGGGACGTTGTCCCTGGGGCCTTGGTGTTTGAGTCTGGCAGGTTTCCTCTTTCCCATATCAGTGGCCCTGGAGAGCTCAAACCTGCCCCTGTCTCCTTTGGGCAGAGCCACATGACCAATAGTCAAGGAGCCCAAGGTAGAGCTGCCCTTAGGAGTGACAGGAGTAGCCATCCATTCCCTACCCTGCCATTTCCTCCCAGCTATGGTGGTGCTCCGCGTGCATCTGTGCAGGTCTGAGTCGTCGCCGCCCCCGGTTAGCTTGTGAATGGACTGCTCTCCAGTTGAAGGTAATGCCACTTTGTGGGACCATAAGCGAAATACTGCTTGCCAAATCAAACCATTTAATTCACAGATCAAGATGGCGACTTACGGCTCAGTGGTAGTCAGCAAATTAATTGCATCTTCTACATCTTGCCAGAGTTGTTATGATATTAGTGCTGCAGGGGGCATCCAGCCTGGTCTTGGATTCTTCTGTCCCTCAAAAGCTGTCCTTCCATCTCTACCATCAAATGTCATGCCTCTTCAATAAATTGATTCCTAGTTTCTGTCCTTTTTGCCTTTGACTTTCCCTGGTCACTTTCCGATAAAACGGAACAATGGTCCCCCCCCCCCCCCCATGAAAGGATGATCTTTCATTCATGTGGAGCATGAATATACAAACACTGCAGTAATTGAGGGGAAATTCATAAGCTGTACAGCTAATCTGGTTAAATCAGGGAGGGGGGTTTCAGGGTCCTTTCGACGTGGAGACGTGGTGTACAAGCTTCATGACTGTGGCTCTTGGTATTAATGAGATGCTGTGGTCTGCTTGAGCCAGATGGGGCTTGAAAGAGAAAATGGTGAATAGCCCCAGAAACAATGGTTTTGTTCCATATGATGGATATCCCCCTCTGGTTCCCTCCAAATGCACATTGATTCTTTCATACGGTGTATATGTGAAGTTTCACTAGAGTAGGTGGAAGTTGCTTGGTCCAGGTCCTGGGTTAGTCTCGCACTATATCTCAAGATTTTGTTTTGGGGAAGATGTAAACAAACTATTAATGTTTCAGATGCAAGCTCTTCTCAAAATCAATCAGCTAGCATGGATGCGATGGTGATTTAATGCTGCATTGCCCCTTTAATAAAATAAAAATTTGGATATATCTTTGGCTGGGTGTTCCTGAACCGCAGCGTTGCATTAAAATCAAGGTGTGTGAACATATGGGCATGTGAGATCACCTAAGTGTGATGTGTGTTGCCATTATTATGTTTGATGTTCATGTAGGGTCTGATAAGACTTGGTTGTTTACCAACCTCGTTTATGCAAAGCCAAGTGGCTCAGAAGCGGTCTAAGCGACTCTGAAAAGCCCAATAGTGCGTAGTAACTGTTGTTGGGTTTTATTAAGGTTTTCAGTTGAATTCCTGAGCAAATCAAGACTAGGACCTTAAGGGCACAGCTGGGTCCTGCCTGAGATTTAAACAGGCACCTCTGAGGTCAGCCTGTGAGTCCTCAATCAGTGTGCCACCTGCTCTCTTTATTCATTTTCTGCCCACATCTGTGAGAACATCTGCCTGTCTGGATGGTTCTTTTTCTGGGGGGAGAAGCTTTATCTTTTTACAATAAAAAAAAACGTGAACCGTTACACATTATGAAGCGCGCAGTGCAATTTATGAAAAATAAGCGCAGCAGTAATGCTCGTGACTGTCGCCAGTTACATGGAAGAGAAGCCGTTGTGTTGCCTTGTGGCCCTATTTAGAAAAGCAGCTCATGAATGAATGACATCTCCCCCAGTGGGAGGATTATTACAGCAAGGCCCCATCCCCGGGACAGGGGTCCCAACCCAACCAATGCTTCTCAGAGTGGCACGCGTGGGGCAGGGCTAACCCCTGCTACGTTACGAGCTGCTTGATGCGAATTGTCTTTCTTGTAAATTAGCTTGCGCCTGTGGAATAAGCACTGAAATGTGAAATGTTTTTAAATCTGTTTTTTGAATTTTTTTTGTCAGGCACGGATGTCCCTGAGTAATGGCCGACGGTCCCAGAGTGCCATCTGTTGGTTTGATTTTTTTATTTGTATTATTTTTTTTTTCTTTTTGGATCGGGACGTGGACTGCACAGGTTTACCGTACAGCAGGAAATGCACAATCACAGATCTAATCATTTCCTCTGAAATATAAGTGAGGTCAGCCTTAGGCTAGACGATCGCACAGGCTTCTGAAGGACATGCCTGGGTGTCCTTCCCAGAATGATAATAAAGATGGATTTTTCCCTCTGCCTTTCGATGGGATGTGAAATTCTGCGACGCCCCATTGTGTAGAGTGCCCCGCCGAGTGTCCCGTCTCTCATGCTCACGTCTTCGAATGAGTGGGCAGCCACCGAAAGTGCACCTTTGGTCGTGACGTTTTGATTAATCGGTAAGAGTCCCCCACACCCCCACTGTGAGGGACGTCACTTACTGCCAGGCTCTCTTCTCCGTCAGCGAGCCGAGGCGTGACGCGTACGCGGGATGCTGGAGGTCGCAGCGGTGGTCTATGAATCGGCGAGCAGCGGGATGGCGTGACGAAATTAGCCGCGGTTTATGGAGCGGTTGACGGGCCCCGTGAATCACAGCTCCGCACCCGGCGTGAAGCGGAGGGCGACTCGGGGACGGTACGGCCGTGTGGTGGCAGCCGAGACCCACCCTCCTCCCCTGCCCCCCCCACCCCTGCATGGAGATGAATGACTCTCACGTGCGTTAGAAAGCTGAGTCCGCCTCCGATGGTTCTGCCTTAACACCCGCGAATACGAACCTGCCTCCTGATTGGTGTTCTGGGCTTGTTAAGAGTCGCTGTGATATGCAAATGAGGGGCGTGACCAAAATGCATATTATGCATGCATGACATTGAACGGGTGAGATGGGGAAAAAAAAGAAGCATTTTTTTTAGCTTTTGTCCAAACAAGCATGTGCAGAAGGCTTGGTTACTTGCTGCTGTGTTTATTAATTACGTTAATCATGGTTCGTTTAGCTAATTGCTTGTTTTGGATGATTATGAGCCCCATTCCTTACACCAAGGTGTCTTAATCCTGGTCCGGGGAGCCGTTGTCTGCATCAGGATCTGTTTCAATGCCGCTCCCAATTAATCAGGCTTAATAGATGCGCTGATTGAATCCTGGCATCGATGTGACGCTTCTTGACATTTGTCAGTCATGAGAGCGAGAAGCCTAGAAGCGTATTTCGCACGAAAGGAAAGTGGAATTTTTATAAAGAGCTGCCGAATTCTTGCAAGCCTCCAGAAAACGTGACAGGCCGAAAGACTGATGAGATCCATTAAGCTTCAATACTCATTTGCACGGCTGTGAGAAACATCAACCAGGTGGTGCAGAGCGATTGTTTCATCCTCGCTTTTATCATCTATAAAGGACCAGGAGTGGGACGGGCTGCGCCGTGCCGAGGGGGGGCTTCAGTCAGGCGATCAGCTTGGCCTCATCAGACTTTTAGATCAAACAGCAGCGCTAAGTGGCTACGCTAGCATTGTGGCTGAAGTCCTTTTTAATATAATGAGGGCCCAGGGGAGCTCGTTTGTGATG